TATGCATGTGAAGGCAGATGAGGGATTACTTTAGGCAATATAGTGTATTTGTTAAAAACATATAAGCTAGTTTTATTAGATTGGAGGGTTTACTTTAACAAAGCATGGTTAAGTTTTTACTAAGGGAAATGGGAAACAGATGGGAAACATTGAGACAAATCGACCTGCCACTCGTGCTGCTGGTGGTTAGGATCCAGAACCCTGGTGTGACGACTCATGTAGCGGCAGCTGCTGCTCCTTTTTTTGCTCTCTATGAAATGCATTGAGAGGTTTTTTTGTTTTTGTTTTTCTCCTGTTAGAAGATTCACCTGCAGCATTTTCGCAGGCCTTCCCACCACCTCGCTGGTAACCATGGCGACACTGGACCAGGGTTGTTCTGACTGACAGCTAGCACCCGCAAACCTTAACTTCACCCTCTGTCCTTCAACTGCACTGTTAACCCCCACCAGGCACTGGGACTGGAGGACCCCGGTCACCTCCCTCAGTCCAGTCTGACAGGACTCATCAGCCGACGCCACCCGCGGACTGACGAGAACCGTTCTTGAAGTAACATGCTGAATTTGTTATTTGTGTAGTTATTTATATGGGATGTTTTGGTTTCTTTTTTCTTCTTCTTCTGAATTAAATATGAATAACAATCAAAGATATTTAATTTTTTTAAAGATTTTCTAAGTATTTGATTATATTTGGGTTATTTATTCTTGTATTGGTTTCTTTAGCAGTTGTCAAAGAGGTTTGATTGAGTGTTTTGTTTTTTTTTAAGTTATTGCTAAAGCAGTTTTGATGTTGAATTAAACAGCCAGTCATGGAGACAGAAAGAAGGGGCTGGTGGCTCAAGGTAGTACCCTCCCCAGAGTAAAGGTACCTGATTATCGTCAACACAACAGGGTTCCAGATTTAATGCAACACCTTGTGCGATCATTATGCTTTCTGTTTCCAGTGCAGATTCACCCAGCAGGTGTTACTGAGCGAGCCGCAAAGCGTGCATGTATTTGAATGTATTTTCACAGGAAGCACTTTGGCCCTCTGCTCCAGCTGCAGTATTACTGTCTTCAGCTGACCACTGCCTCCAAACTTTGTTGGCCTCAGGCTCTTATATCTGGCTTTTGAGGCTCATTGGTCACCTTGTCAACTTAAAATAGTCAGATCCAACTGCCTCCCTCCCACCTCGGCCTGAGAGAATTTCTGCCTGTACGATCTTTAAATCAGTTTGGATCTTAACAAACTTCAGTCTGAATTATTAGGAGCTGTGTTAGGGGTTTATAAATTAATAAACAATTAATTTTCTTCCACTCCTAAAGGAAAGGGAATCCTGTGTTAGATTTCCCTTTCATCATCTCAACAAACCAGCCCCCCTTAGACCACAGGACCACTCAGCTGCTCGCTTGACTTCAGACCCAACAAGGAGGGGCAACAGTTACTCTGCTGTTCCATCAGTCTTAAATTGAATAGGAATGGCCGCGCTAGTATTAAGGTTCCTGATGTCTTTACTTGGGCCTACATGCTGCTCTTGAAGAAGCCTTATCTGACTTACCAGCGCTACATGGACTCGGCGTTCCTTCACTAGCTTTTGGTCCAACAACAAATCCGTGGATGTACTGCACACGGTGTTCCTGAGGGCAGCTTGCATGCACTTTTATGCAGCAGACTCTGTTATTAGTAATACCAGATACGTGCTGGGCCGCCTCCTAGTAAAACCCTCTGGCTGCACAGGTGCTCACCTACTCTGTGGGACTTGCTCAAACCCAGTGTACCTGTTGAGGACGTCAGACTCAGTTTTTTGTTTTAGAAGAAAAGTCTTTGTGATCAGTGTTGGTGTTAAAGTCTGTGCACTTCTCCTTAGCGCCATTAGGAGCAGCGCTGTGCTGTGTGAGCACATTAAGCCATTACTCGATGTCAGCAGACATCCACACAGAGGCAGCTGAAGGCTTCGTCTGCTTAGTGTCTCACCAGAAGCAGCAGGATTCAAACACACACACACACACACATCTCCCTACCCTGAAAACACCATGTCTGTTCCATTTGTGCCATCTTTCTGTTTTGCCGTTTTTATATTTTGTTGCAGTGAAATAATACATTTTTTAATCAACTATTTTTAAGTAAGCAGGTGTGTCACTGAGCCTGTAGTTCTTTGTTTTTCATTTTCCAGTTTCAAGCACTTGTACCAAATAGAGATTTTGGAGAATGTTTTATTATTACAGTCTTGCAAAATGCTTGGGTTTTTTAAAACTATGTTGTATGTGTGTTAATCTCAGGGCTGAATCTCAGATATTCGAATGGGTTTTTATGTTTTTCTTCTGTTGTGTCAACCCCACATTGACTGGAGCAATGATACATGTAAGCAGGAAGTGCTCATCTCCTCAGATGTAACGCCTTTTTTCTGTCCTGGTTACACACTACTCGTCACATTCCAACGCCGCCTCCATGTGTCCGTCGGTGATGCGGTGTTTTGTTTTAGGACATCGACTGCTTCACTGTCACACTTTTGTCATCGTCTTATTTTTATGGTAACTTTTTTGTATTGTCTTGTCCATTTGTTGGAACACCAGAGGTCATGTAATTGTTTAAGAATAAATATTTTGTTCGCTGTTTTTCTGAAAGAATTTTTTATCTTTATCTTGAGTAAAGTTTTTCTCTTATAATATAGACATATTAGAATACTGCAAAGCATCACAATGACTGATATGAAATTATATATTATGATAAAAATAAATGTGAAATTGATATATAGTTATAGCATTTATCCCTTCATCCTGCATACTGAGGTGATGTCCACAGTTTGGCTCGGTTTTTCCAAAGTTGAGACATTTTTGTCTTTTTATTTATATGGTTGGGAAGAAAGAAGAGGGACAGCAGCATAAACCTGCAGCCGTAACAGATTTTTGTTGAATGCAATACATAAACAACCACACACCCCTAAAAGAGAAGGAAGGGATGAAAGCATTTAAACCTGGGACACCTGCAGTAACTGGATAAAACCGTAGATGCTGCTCTGGGCGCAGTCGTTTAAAAGATGTAATCTGAATAACAATTATCCAGTTTTGACAGGGCCTTTACTTAATCCACTGCACCTTTGTCTTGGTTGTTCAAAAGGACATTTTATAAAATCACACTGATCCAAAACTACTGAAAGCCTTACTGGTAATAACCAGTAATTTTACTGGGATGCAGAGGGCGCCA